ATGGGGGGTGGCTAGCCTCTGAGGGACACTCTAGGCCATTCAAGAGCTGACTCGGCAGTCATTCGTTCTGTCCCACGCCTTTGCTCTTCGGTTTCAGCCACCACCTGGCAAAAACCAATGGGAGGTGACAGTGAAGTGAATTCAGATTTGACCCCATGAGAGAAAACCAGGCTCTTCAGGTCAGGCCTGAAACCCGTCAGGATGACGGGTTTCAATGTCACTGAGCCAGCTGGGGGCAAGGTGCCAGAGGACCCCCCAGCCGGAGAGGCAGGGAAACGGTTAATAGCTCAAGGTGATACATTAAACCCCAGATCTGGGGCTGAAATTTGGCTGATCTTGAAGTCAAGCAGAACTGTCGGAACCTGGGGAGGCGTTGTCACTTTTACTGTACTTTTCCACACGTATTTTTATTTATTTATTTATTTTAATTTGGAAATGTTCGTGGGGAGCTGGAACACTCAGGCTGGAGAACTCCCCAGGGTCTGAGAGGGACAAATCTGTGTCTCTGCTTGGATCTCCATCCAGTTCAGACCAGCAGCTCCCAAGGGCATCAGCCACCAGTGGCGGTTCGGTGGCCTCCCGAGGCCAGTCCCCGCCCTCGGCCCCCACCGCCCGTCCCATGGACACATGCTCACCTCCTCTTCTTTTCACTGCCCTCTGGTGCCAGCGTGCAAGCTCCTGCCAAGTTACACGAACAGTGTGCTCCATCCACCAGCCACTACAGGCTCCTTGTTATGAAACCCAGGAGTCGCTTAACAGGGAGCAGATGGAGAGAGGCACAGGATACCCCCAAAGTGGGCAGGAGGGGAACCCCGGGCTGAGAGGCAGAGTGGAATTAAAATGCTCGCGCTCACCCCAGTTGATATGCTGGTGAGGACCCTGCTTTCCCAACGCCTTGCATGTGAACAACCAGCTCGTGGAAATTCACTAAACAGAAATGGCAGGCTGGGGTGTTGGAGGTGATCGTGTGCTCCCTTCTGGGGGGGGGGGGGCACAGGAAATTAGCACCCACGGTGATGGATGTGCTGCAAAGTCGGCCTGCCCTCTGGATCCTACCACCCTTGAGATTCTTGCTCTGACCTTCTGACATATTTACCAAGTCCTTGCTTTCTCAATTATGGGAGAATTCTCATCACAACTGAACATTGAAACATTTTCTGCATCAGAGGACACGTCCCCATCCTGGACCAATGCAGGGGATGAGTTTCACTCCTCAGAGAGCTGACAACCTGACTTTAACATTGCAGATGGACGCATTGGCCGCCCCCACCACTTACATGCACATGTGTGTGCACACGCACGGTTCATTCTGGGGGAATGTCTCCACTTAACACCTCTACTCTGAGTTTGAGTTAAATATAATCTGTTCTAAAGACAACAGAACAGTTTCAGCTGTGTGAAAAATGAGTAGGATGCAGTGTACACAGGCACGGAAATGCGCACGCACACACCCCTCCTCGCTTCTTTCCCTACCAGCAAGAATTGCACCTTGCTTCTGAGGTCCCCAAAGGGCACCGGATCTGATAATCCCCAAATAGCTACTGCTCAATTGGCTCAGCTAAAGTTTCCCTGCAATGTGGCCCAAGCAGTTGTGCTTGGGTCTCGGGCTCCTTCATGACAGCTTGGGGCTAATGCTGTGGGTCATCCATGGCAGATCTTATGCACGCAGTGGAAGTTCCCTGACCTATCCCATGGAATAGTCCCGAAACACAAGTCCCCCATTGTTCCCTGACTTGGGGATGGAGGGAAGGGGGAACATGCACACACACAAAACCTCCCTCCAAAAGATTAGTGCAATTATTAGCCAACAGTAATGGCTATAAGCCAATCTGTTCTCAAATCCTCCCAAGCACCAAGTCACCTCAGAGCCTCTTAAAGCCCCAAACACAAGACTGTGTGTTCTCCTGCGTTTTGCCGCGTTGTTCTTGAAGGCTGCTGGGCCATTGCTTAATGCTGCCCTTACCCACAAGGCTAATAAGCAGAGAAAGAAACAGTGAATAATGCACATGTCTGAGCCCTGGGTCCCTATGCCCCCATAAGTCTGTGAAGGCAGATGTCCGGGGCCAGACATCATTGGCAACGGCTTCACCCAACGTTGTGCTTATTAGAACACAGCTGTAGATTGTGACTTGCGGTTAGTGTTCTTTGTAGAACTCTCCAGAATGATGTGCTCTCTCCCTCTTTCACCTTATGTGAATAACAATATTTGACCCCTGTACTATATCCTGCTGGCCGCTCTAGTCTCCCACCTGGAGTAATGAGTATATATTGGGAAAGGAAATTAAATTCTGTTTGAGGACTTGGTGTACACGTACTTACACTGCATACATATTTTAAACTCTCATCTCAGAGAAAGGGACCTCTTGTGCTAGCCCATATTGACATCTATATGATATATAGCAATAAAATCCATAATATGTATTTTTTCCTTTTTCAAATATTTTATTTATTTGTTCATGAGAGACACAGAGAGAAGGGGAGAGAGATATGCAGAGGGAGAAGCAGGATCCCTGTGGGGAGCCCGATTCAGGACTCGATCCTAGGACCCCAAGACCACGACCTGAGCTGAAGGCAGAACGCTCAACCACCGAGGTGCCCCAAATCCATAATATATCTTGAATAAATATGGATAATGATGAGAGCTATACAAAGGAGAAAATTCTAAGGACAGGAAGGTTGGTGATATATTTACCTAACACCAAAGCAATCGAGGGATTGCATTTAAGTTACAGATACGGTAAATGAGACACCAAGAAAAGAATATGTTGGCTGAGTTCAAAGACAGCTGGTCCAATGACTCTGAATATTCTACTCAAGAGAGTACTTATGTGTGTAAATAAATACAGAGGTGAACACTCATCGCCGGCCGCCCAGACCCTATCCAATCATTCCTTTATTCTTCAAGAGATTACTGAGCCCCTGCTATGTTCCCGGCACCGGTGAAGGCCAGGCATTTGGTGGGTTTCTCTTAGAGCAGCCTTATTCAAAGCCCTGTTGCGTCCCGAGAAACCAGTGCCATTTGGAAAACACAGGTACAGACAAAAAAGTCTCAACGCTGAGCAAACAAAGAGGAAATTTTCTATGTGATGACAAATCGGGAAAGCTTTCAAGCCTCTATTATTCATTATAGAGCAGACCAAGACATGTTAAACTTTGGGCATGTCTATGAAATACATAAATGAGGTATTACATATAACCCCGTTCCTACGAATTAATACCACGTCTTTGCCCCAGAACGCTCTCGGGGAAAAAAACTCTGTTGAAAGATCTAGAGCCTGAGTCTAAATAACCGAGTCACAACGACTCAATATTCTCCCTTATGACTATTTCATAGTTCTGTACACACACCTAAATGGAACCAGCACTACTCCAGTGTTTGTATACAACTTCCATAGTGTATGTTTTCACGCACACATGAACACACACACACATGCACACACACACACACACACACACAGAAGTAGCATCTTTCTTATCTGGGAGGTTTCAGTTTTCGTTAAATTCCAGAAATCCTCCCTTTGTAATAATTGGAAGATAAGCCCCGCTGAATCATTTTCAAAGTTGAGTCCCAAAATGGGGATTAAAAATAAATATAATAATAATATAATAATATATAAATATATATTTTATATATTATATACTTATATTATATATAAATATAATAAATATAATAATAATAAAATAAAATAAAATAAAAAGTAAATAAAATTAATAATAACAATAAGTGGGCCATTTGGGAAGTATCCAAAATCCTGAGCCAAAGGGCACCTGGGTGGCTTAGTTGGTTAAGCACCTGCCTTCGGCTCAGGTCATGATCCCAGGGTCCTGGGATTGAGCCCGGCATCAGTCTCCCTGCTCAGTGGGGAGCCTCTTCTCCTTCTCAGTCTGCTCCTCCCTCTGTGTTCTTTCTCTATATATATCAAATAATGAATAAAATTCTTTAAAATAAATAAAACCTTTAAAAAAATCCTGAGCCTAAACATATTGTATAAACTAATCTTATAAGCTGCATATACTGAACCACTCTTTGGCATTACTCACTAATGAGAAGATCGAAGTGAGTGCAAAGATGCTAGGATGATTTTCCCTTTAGGATGCATAGATCTAAGTCCCTGGTGTCATCACGCTGTCTGTGTGCACTACAGGCATTTTCGTGGCTTCGTAAAGCGGGTCTTTGAAGGATGCACGTCACAGTCAGTTGTGCTCGTCCGCACACCAACACACACACGCACCACTCCAATCTCATATTCCTGTCTCTGCAAAATTGACATAATTTCATTTGGGTCGATTACGAGCTTATATTCTCAGTAATGGTGTTTGTGATCCACGAAGAGAAGAACAGATAGCAGCGCAAAGAATAGCAGAGCCCCCAAACCCTGGGGTCCCCCCCTTTCACCTTCAGTGACTCGTTTGCTCAGGGGCCCAGCCTATAGGAGCCCAGCTCACCAGCACCTGCGTGTGGATGAACTTTCTAGAAGGAGCTCTGGGTACCAACTCACTAGAAGAAACCAGATCCACAGCTGATGCCCACTGTTCACTCACCTAAGCTTCTTGTCTTTTAAACCAGACAGGGCCCACAGGTCCCTTGTGCACTTATGGTGAATCTTGCAAATGGAAAGCACAGGGGAATTACAGAGAAGCTGAAGGCCAAAGGCAGAGGCCCGGCCAGGAGTGAGAAGACTAATGGCAAGAAAGCTTGCCTGTCGGGAGAAGAATCCCTCACGCTGCTCTTCATCCACCCATGGTTGACTGTCCTCCCAAACCAGATGAACCCATCCAGCTCATTGCTACACGTGGCTACAATCCCTGTGGAGTCTGGCCTGCCTCTCACATAGCAGGTGGCCAGAGAGGGGTCTGCTGGGAGATTGCCCCACTAGGACCTAACCCATGACAAAAAAGAGGAAAAAAAGTAAGAGTCACAACTGAATCACCCTCGAAGTTGAGGGCGGGGGAGTCAGATTCAACTGAACAACAGCTTTTCAACCCAGGCAGCTACTTACCTGGATCGGGCATGAGGATTGACAAAGAAAGTCAGGTCCAAATCCAAAAATCCAAAAGGAGCAAATCCAAGGGTCTCTACCCTGCCATCTTGTCCTTTGTCCCTCGGGCGTCAGGTGTGGGTTAGCGGACCCAGGCCGTGGCCCTGATGAATTCAGCAAGGTTCCAGGATGGGTGAAGGGGGTCTAGCCTCATCCCACCACCATCCCTCGGTCCTGGCCCAGCTTTTGGTGCCGCAAGCACTAGCAGCGGAGCGCAGGAGGCTTGCTCCTGACATTGAATGAGCCACAGAACACGTCAATCTGATCTTTTATAGTGCTTTGTTTATTACCTGTGTGCCTTTATTTCATAAGGGAACCGAGAAAGAGAGAGAGAGAGAGAGAGAGAGAGAGAGGGAGAGGGAGAGAGAGAGGGAGAGCAGGCATGATGAAGATGACTATTAGTAGCAATCCAAAGACAGCTTTTCTTAAGCTTCATTCATACCAGCAAAGGTGACCAAACAACCTAGCGATTGTTCTCTCGAATGTCACCTTTAAGCACGGGCCGCCTGGCCGATAAAACTCGGCTCTCTCGTTTTTTGCTCCCGGGTGCCCCTCCTAAAAGAAAAAAAAAATTGCTGTGCTATCCTCCAAATATCTCCAGAGAAATCGAACCAACAAGGAAATCTTTTCTTCTTCCCTCAACCAGCACCACCGCCACCCCCCCCCCCAACTCGTTTTTTCTTTCTTCTTCACGCAGCTTGAACAATTTGGCTCTGTTCTGGTGCATTCCTGCGGCCCATTCTTTTTCAGTTCTATGCAGGGCTGGGGACGGTGGACCAGGAGAACACAGGCCCACATTCAGACCCAGGACGGCCCTTGGTGGGGTGGGGGGGGGCAGGGGGCGGGGAGTGAACCAAATGTACCTATGATTGTTGCGCCACCAACTTAATACCTGGGCAGGGAGACAAAGGCTCTTTAGAAAAAGCCCAGGCTGCTGGGGAACCCATCCCCCCCTTCCCCCCCCCCCCGACCTGAGAGGAGTTCAAAAGATAACAGAAGCTGGAAATAAAGCAGTGACATGATTAAAGTTTCCACCCCATTCTAGGAGCTATTGCGAATGATGACAGAGAATGCACTGCTAGCCTTTACCCACGAACGGGCTCTGCTCATACATGGAGAGTTTTTTTCTCTCTGTGTGTGGGGAGGGTGTGGGTGTGGGGGGGTGGGTGTATGTGTGCATACACACACAGGCATCCAGTCCCAGACAACACACGATCAATAATCTCAGAGCCCTGCCACCTTGTCACACAAGCAGAGGTAGAGCCACTGCTTGGAAAGCCCCTGATTTGAAGGGAAACTACAAAATGAGGAAACCCTTTTGACATGAACCCTATTTTGTTCTTAACAAAGGGTAAGTGGGCATTTTCAAGTTTTTACTTCTGTATTGATTTCTGCTCGGGATCCCAGAATTTGCACTTGCCCATGGAAGAGGGTGGAGGCCTTGCGAATAAGTTCTGATGGTACAGGGAGTGTGTGTGTGTGGTGGGGGGGGCGGGGGTGTGGACTTCACTGCGCTCTAAACAAATCACAGGTGTTTAGAGGACCTCTCTTAATGGGGCGGGTGGCAGGCCAGTTATATGACTTCAGACTTAGGGATGGCCTCCCGGTGGCCCCGAGCTCCATGATCCTGGGTCAAGGTCCTTCATTAAAGAGGAAGAATTTTTAGCCAGAAAACTGCACTGAGAGAAATGAGAGAAAGGGCCAGGCCTAGAAGGTAACCAGGAAAGAAAGGTGAGACAACTATGCACTTGGACCAAACAGGATTTGTCTGTCTTGTCATCAAAACCCCAACCCTCACTTGGAAAACTCTCAATCACAGCTTTACTTTTCTGGTTCTCAAAGAGACTGTAAGCTCCATGAGAACCGGGACTGTACCCCAGGCCTAAATCCCAGCATCGAACACATACAGGTACTGAATAACTCTTTTCGAACGTTGAAAAATCGCAGATTCACAAGGGATAAAAGAAAACAAACATGCGGTGGTATGCTGGAGCCGGCTCATGCCCACTCACAGGGGCTGATTGTTCTATTTACAAGAGTTTTGTGAGCCAGTTATTAAACACAGCCGCTATTAAAAGTGAAATTCTATAAACTTACAATTAAATAAATTATATTTAAAAACCAAGCTAAATAAGCTATCACTTGCCCACTGTTTAACGAAGTCTCACTATTATCTATGGTCTTGAGCTTATTTACATCTGTTGCGTCTATAGGGTGGAAATACCGTGGGATGCTGGCCACTGCCCATTTCTTTCCTACTCCGTGATCGGTGAGGTCACATTTGTAGCTTGAAACTGGCCATGGTGACAACATTAACACCATGGAAATCTAAAAGCGCTGCTACCGATCAGGACTTGATTTATGGTTTTGTAATTGTCTAGACTGGAGAGTGATGAAGAAAATATTTCACACATCAAAGTCTATCGCATCCATAGAGGTTACATTGTGAGGAATAGAGAGAGAGAGAGAGAGAGAGAGAGAGAGAGAGACGCACACACACACTTATGAAATATTCTTTCAGTATTTAAAACTATTCTCTGATTCGGGGAAAAAAATCACCTTTACCATCGACTAAGAATGAGGCCCCCAAAAGTGTCTTCATTCCTTTATCTTATTCCTTAACAAAAATGAAAAATCAAGCAGCATTCATGATGGAAAGAGTATAGGCTGTTTCGTGAAACCACGAGAAGAAAAGTTGGTGGTATGTTTTTCAAGAATCAATGAACTAGGGATCCCTGGGTGGCGCAGCGGTTTGGCGCCTGCCTTTGACCCAGGGCACGATCCTGGAGACCCGGGATCGAATCCCACGTCGGGCTCCCAGTGCATGGAGCCTGCTTCTCCCTCTGCCTGTGTCTCTGCCTCTCTCTCTCTCTGTGTGTGTGACTATCATAAATAAATAAAAATTTATTAAAAAAAAAAGAATCAATGAACTATATGGAATTTGCTGTACAGAGTTTCATCCTTTATGTCGGAAAGATTCCTAATCTACTCGTGTACCTACAAACAGAAGCACATTTTCTTCAGAGAGCTGGTTGTTAAACATTTACCAACACACCGCTGTCCCATAGTGTAACTGCATGTAAGGAAAGGGGGTAATTTTAATGATTTATAGGATGACATAGACGTATTATTACATAGACGTACAGGCATACGTGCACAAGGGTACATGTAACACATATATGTGTTTGGTTCATCGCATGGCTTTGGCTTAATAGAGGTAGGTCACAAAACACTGAAAGAAGCCTGTTGGTAGAAAGATGACGCTGTATGAACTATTCTTTTTATTTTTTTTTAAGATTTTATTTATTTATTCATGAGAGACACAGAGAGAGAGAGGCAGAGACACAGGCAGAGGGAGAAGCAAGTTCCATGCAGGGAGCCTGATGCAGGACTCGATCCCGGGACTCCAGGATCATACCCTGAGCCAAAGGCAGACGCTCAACCGCTGAGCCACCCAGTATGAGCTATTCTTATCTTCCCTACTCTTTATTCAGGGCTGCCAGGAATAAGGCTGTTCAAAGAACAGGCAACGGAGGCAAGAGTCACTCTTAAAATTTCTGTACATCTGGATAGTATTTTACAGTTTCCAAAAGGACTTTCGCACAAAGTCCATCACGAGAGCCTCATGAGGGCTCTGTGATAAAGGCAAGACAGAGCAATCCCATTTTACAGAAGAACATACTGAGGCTTGTAAAGCTTCTTTACTTTACCAAAGCTCTCACACAACTGAGGGTGACTAACATAAAGGTGGAACACAGATCTTCTGACTCCTAGCCCAGTGTTTCTCAAGAGGGGATCAAAATACCCACTTTGGAGCTGAGCTTCTGGAAAGTCCCATCCTTTTTAGACCTGAGTGTAGGCAAGGGGGCGATGCAGTGGGAAGAGAAGGCACTTGTGAAGGTCCTATAGCCAAGCTCAATCACGCTTCCTGACTCCTTGGGCACGGAACCTATGATGTCAGAGCCCTGGTTTTGATCTGTCAGCTGGCTTGGCTCATGCGTAGCCTCTCCAGGTCAGCATCCACCCTGCCAGAGAATCAAACTCAGTGGACAAATAGCTATAGCACAGTCCGGGCCCACAGGCCCCACTGATTTGTATGCTGCTTTTCCTTTTTTTTTTTTTTTTAGACAAGTCAAACCCTTTTAATTTCTTCAAGCAAAATCCTATATGAAACAGCAAAATATAGTTCAGACTGAAAAGCAATTTCTGCGGTTGAATGCAGATAGTGAGAGGGGGGTGGCCAGCTATAGTTACAACTCCTGTCTACTCCTGGGGACCCTTACAGCACCACCAAACAACCCTTGTCTCCTTGAAGCATCTAAAGAAAAATCTACATTAGCATCTAATGTTGATGAAGGCACTGTGTGTGCATGTGTGTCTGTGTATGTATGTCTATCTGTGTGCCTCTGTGTGTGTGTGTGTGTGTGTATACTAGAGGGCAGAGGGCCCCAGCTTCTATATTGTGGGTCTCCTCCTTAAGCTTGGCTAAATACCCCTGGAATTTTCTGCCATTGGCCTCAAAAAGGCAAAAGGAGAGAGCGGAGCCCCTCAGTGAACCGGACGGACAAAAATAAAGTTTCAATCCTATATCGTACCGTAGAAAAGCAAGCAGGCAAATCCAGGAATGCTTTATCATCCCTTTGACATGGGTACCTTCATATTCACGACTTTGTAGATGGAGAAAGTCACGCTTACAGAGGTTAAGTAACATTCTCAAGCTTTTACGGCTTAGAAAGGGGTGAAGCGGAGAGCAGGGCTGGCTTCCCGGGTGGGCAACCGGTGCAATCATCCGGGGAGATTCTAAGGGCCCTTGCTCAGAGTGTGATGTCCTACAGGTGCTTGTTTTAAAGTTCTTAGTAATTCTATCTTTGAATTTGTGTTCCGTAAGTAAAGTCAGATGGAGCGCGTGTAGGGGCTTGGGGCCTCTGCTCACATATGGTCCTGTCTTGGGATGGGTTCTTGTCCACCTGCTTCCCATCCTTGATGCTCTGGGTCTGCCTATCTTCCCCTTCGCCACCCCTCTCCCTGACCACTGCCCACCACCTAGAGCAGCAGGTAGACAAGGAAAACTCGTGTTTGGTCATCAACTTTTGCAACCGTGGCACGTGCACAGAGAGACTAGGTCAAGTGCATGCCCTGTATTTATCCAGCAAGGAAGGCCCAGTCATTCCCATCTGGGGGGTGGAGGGGGGCCTCTCACACAGCCCAATCCAGATTCCC